CATATGTTTTCACACATATGATGCGATATTTTATCTGGATGTTGTGTATGTTTACAATGGTTTCAAGTGTATTTCGGATGTTTTTGCAAGTGTTCAGACGCATGTTTCAAATGTTTCACTTGTTTTTAGATGTATGTTGTAATTGTTGCATCTGGATGTTTTAAAACTAGATCGAGTGTTCCATCTCCCTCGTCGCCTTTCTGTTGTCTCGCCTCGGTGTCAGGCACGGGAATGCGGAGGCGGTCCCCACTGTGCGGGGGGGGGGCACGTGCTTGCGGGCGGGCGCAGCAGGAGAGACGTGAACAGGTAGGCGCGGGACGCGAGCTTGAGTAATCATAGGATTCACAACTTAGACAACACTGTGTCAAAAACTGGATGTGTAGGGGTACACTCGTCTTTTTACCTCTTGCCTAACTCCTTGGAAACCGGCAGTACGTTATGATTGCTTTGGTAATTATTTCTTTCATATTGGCTGCACTGTAGCTGGTGTGTGCCTATAGTAGTAGTAAAAAGCAAGCCAACTTTCGCACATTGAGAATAACGGTGTGTTCGTTTCAATTGGAACAGGGACTACAGACTAAATTTTAGTTCCTTTTAGTTCCTTTGAACCAAACAGTAGAGACTAAAATAAGGACTAGAGACTAACTGGCATAAGTCCCAAAGGGAGAGGCTTTTTAGGACTTATGGACCCAAATTGACACCCGTTGCCCCTTAATAATTGCTCCCATTCCCAAACCCTCAGCGCCGCACTTGCCCTCATTCACCCATCCCGAAACCCTCAGCACTGCAGTCGCCCTGACTCGCTCGCTCCCTCGAGCACTTGCCCTCACTTGCTCCCTCGTCGCCGCGCATCAGATCCGCCGCCGCCGCTCCCCCTCCTCCCCACACCGCACCTGCCATGGATGGCTACGGCAACAACTACCGGGATTACTTCACCCATCCATCATCTTCTTCCTTCCCCGCCACCAGATCTGAGCCCTACCCTCAGTTCCCCGTCACTGATGAGTTCGGCGTGTACTCCCAAGCTCATTCTTCTCCCTACGCCTCCCCCAGCCTCTCTGCTCCATGGTCGTGGCTAGAGCCTGGGTCTGAACTCCTAGGCCGACTTCCCCAACCTCGACGTCTTCCCCAACTAGGAGCAGCTGCAATCTGAAGGTGTTCGTGGCGGCGGTGGGCTCTGTCCCCTTGGCCCTAGCGGCAGATCCGGTTAAGGCCAGTTCTTGCCTCCATGCTCGGTCCAGACCGGATCTCGTACCAGAACTGGCCGTGGAGGTAGCTAGGCTGCGCGCCCAGGAGGTACCTGTCATGGATTTGGTAAACAACCTGCACCATCCCTTCCACTTTTCGGAATTGGCGGTGGTGACCACGGAGTTAGGTTGAGGCAGCCGGTGTCCCGTGGATCCACATCTGCCGCCAGCAACTTCGAGACCGTATAGGATGTGGATGGAGACGACAACAAAGAAGGATATGATGAGAACGCCCTTGTGTCGGTAAGTTCCAGACTTGTTTATTTATGTTGTTGCTTGTGTGTAGCATATTGTGTTGTAAAATTGCTGGTATATGTACTCTGGTGTTCTATAGATGGTTGGTTAGCATGTATGAACTATATTTTTATGTCCTCTGTTTTTTTATTTGTGATTTCGTTTGATATGTGATGTCCCTTTTCTTTTTTTAGAAGAGGAATGACAAGGCCAATTGGACCGATGAAAACATTAACACTTTGTGTGAACTCTATGTTGAACAAATGAACAACAGAAACTAGCATAACTGGACAATGACAACTAGAGGTTACAAATATAATTAGACTCAAATATGAAAAGTTAACTAATCTGAAGCATGACACCAAACAATTGAAGAACCGAATCAATCATTTGAAGCCCAAGTGGAGGTTTAGGGACCGACTGATCAAGAACACAGGTTTAGGCCATAAAGCTGATGGAACAATAGATGCAACACCGGAATGGTGGAAGGAAAACACAAAGGTCTTCTGTCAGACTTTGGGATACACAGGGTTTCTCATTTCTTTGTTTCTTGAATTGTGCAATTTTAGGGGGAATTTGCAGAGTGTAAGAAGTTTCAGTGGGGCTGGCCTATGTATTTCCTCTTGTTGGAACAGATGTTCAGAAGGGTAGTGGTAGATGGCTCTACCTCTTGCATCCCAGTGATGTTTTCAGCACATGCATGTGAGGAACAAGCTGCTGGGGGAGGTACTGATACAGATGGGTATGAAAACAGTCCAATGACAGTTCCAGCAGCAAGAGGGGTAGTGCCAGCACTGGTACAGATGGTGAGAGTCCATCCAAGAAGGCAAAGACACCTTTACTGAAGGTTGTGGTCAATGGTATAATGGCCAAGTTTGATCAGGACAGCAAGGTTGTAAATGAAAACCTTGCTCAGTTTAGAAGCAGCAAGCAAGCTAGACACATGAAGAAAAAGAAGCAGAAAAATGCAGAGATTAAAAGATGCATGGACCTGTTTAAGGAGTGTGGAGCTGAACTTGGCTTAGATGAACACTTCGTGGCTATAACTTTGTTTGAGAAAGAATACTTTCGATAGATTTTTATGGGCATTGATACAGTGCAGGGAAGACTTGTGTGATTGCAGAAATGTGTTCAGAAGGGTACTTGAATCATTGATTGTAGCAGTTAGACTTTTAAGCATGTAGTTGAACCTATGCATTTTAATCTTCTAATTTGTGTATTTGTGTTGAACCTATGCAATGTCTGTTACGAACCTATGCAATGTGTGCGACTTGTGTGGTTGTTTAAATTATGATTCTTCTGAATGATTTGATATTTTTGTAGGCTTCTGATTGGCTTGTGATTGGTTTGTTGCTTTGTGATTGGTTTGTTCAGCTGTTACGCAGTGTTTGATTCAATTTGTATTCATGTGTTCAAGATCATGATGCCAATGATGCAGCAGTGGAGACAGATGGTGCTGCAGCTATCCATGGTTGTAGTGATGATTCATCTTCAACAGCAAGTGATGATTCATCTTCAACATCAAGTGATGATTCATCTGATTCTGATTCCGAGGAGGCCGAAGTGGTTGATTACTACCTGAGAGCCCAAAAGAGGAGGCGACAAATGGCCATTGTTGCTTCTATTGTAGGTATGTATCACCACGAATTCCACATGAACAAAGCTGAAAGAAGAGTGCCGTTAGAATCTGGCTACCAATGGGTCACTAGAACACTAGACCATAGGACATAGTGCTATATAATGTTTAGGATGAGGAGAGAGGTTTTTGATAAGCTTCATAATCTGCTTAAGAGTTCATATGGATTGAAATCCACTAGTAAGATGACATCAATTGAGGCTTAGGGATGTTCATATGGATGTGTGCATCTCAACAATCAGTTAGGCAAGCTGACAATCGGTTCACACGTTCATTGGACACAATCCATAGGAAGTTTGATAATGTGTTGGCTTGTATGAGCAAACTAGCAGCTGATATAATTAGACCAAAAGACCCCGAATTTAGGTCTGTGCATAGAAGACTGCAGCCCCCTCGGTTTTGTCCTTTCTTTGATAAGTGCATTGGAGCACTAGATGGAACACATGTGAAGGTAGTGGTGCCAACAAATCAGGTAGTACCTCATATAGGAAGACATGGATACACAATTCAAATGTGTTGGCCCTTTGTGATTTTAATATGAGATTCACTTTTGCTATGGCGGATCGGTTCATGATATGAGGGTTTTCAAAGATGCAATTGACAAGTATGGTGATAGGTTTCCACATCCACCTGAAGGTGTTGATTTGTCCTATGATCTCTTGTTTCACCTAAATGCTCTTACTTTGCATTTGCCTTACAAGAAATTGCAACTGTGTAGGGATTCGAGTTACCCAAACCGATCAGGTTATCTTGCACCTTACAAGGGTACAAAGTATCATCACCAGGAGTACCGAGATGGACCCCCCCCCCAAGAGATAAAAAGGAGCTCTACAATTATACACATTATTCACTTCGAAATGTCATCGAGCGGTCATTTGAAGTCTTAAAGATGAAGTGGAGGATTTTGTTAAACTTACCGAATTATCCGATGCCAAAGCAAAACCAAATAATTCTTGCATGCATGGCCCTCCATAATTTTGTTAGAGAGAATGATAAAAAGGATAGGGACTTTGAGAGGTGTGATGAAGATGAAAACTACGTTCCACTGGAAGAACCTCCGTCTAGCCATGCTAATGGAGCTAGTACATGTCATAGCGTGAAGATCAAAGTATGAATCGGTTTCGGGATTGGATAGCCGATGGTTTGTATTCTAGGTCGTAGCTTTGATGATTTGTAATAATGGAGATTCTAGAACTGCATGAATATTGTTCTGAATAAATGAAATTTGGTGAATTTTATGCCTGGCCAGCAGCGCGGCCAGGAACAGTAGGGAGGGAGAAGAAAGCGTGCGAGCAGAGCCAGCGCGGGAACACATTTGAGCATTAAATAGGGACACTTGGGTCTTTGTTCAGGTACATTAATGATGTTTAGTCCCTTCTAGTTTATTCAACCAAACACCACTAGGGACTAAGACGGCATTGTTTTGCAGAGCAAGGAGAAAGACACCAACTAGATAACACAGGAAACCATTCTGTTGTCTACATCAATCAAGTCAGAAGGAACACAATGCTCTTGGCAGAAATTTTTTGTTGCATTATTTCTTCACCTCGCTTTCCACGAGATCACCGGCTAGTTAGGGGAAAATACAAGTAAAACGATTACAACACGCGCACACTCCACTATTGATTTTAACATAATAAGAAGAGAGGAAAAAAAAGAAGCTCCCTAGAAAGACGGGTACCCAACCATACCATCATATAGCAGTATCTGGTGGTATAGCGCTTTACAACTAGGGCTGCTCGGTCAGATCAGCCACACGGTTCTTTTGTTTTCAATTCATCACCGCAAATTTTTTTTTTTCTGTAATGTAATCAGATGACTCCATCGCAATAAGGGGGGTCGGGCGGCAAAGGTTTTTTCGTCGACATAGCAGCAGCAGGCTCTCACACCGTGTAGTTCTGCTGGATGGTGTCGATGTCCAGCCCCTTGAGCTTCACCACCGACTCCACGTGGCCCTTGAGGGTGTTGAGCTCCCTCAGCCTCGCGATCTCAGCTCGTCTCTTGGCTTGCTCAGCGATCTCCGACAGCTCGCGGTAGCTGCTCTTGTCGTTGAACAGCGTGTTGGTGGCAGCCTCCGGCGGCTGGAGACCGTGCAGCGTCCTCTGCGCGGTGGCCCATTGCGCCTCCCTCTCTTCCCGCCCGTAATCCTTCTTGGTGGTGAAGGCGGTCTGCACACAAGGATTCAGAAATACATTAGCAAATGGCTTGAGAGATAAAAAAAAAGCAGAGTTTGTTTGCTTCTCCGGCTATTGAAACAGAAATCCTACCTTGTTCTCGAGGAGGTTGTCCCATGCCCTGCCGCTGAGCACGAAGCGGATGAAGAACTTGATCAGGTCCAGAGGGAAGTAGAACACGATGCTGTAGAGCCAGACGACACCAGCCCAGCCCCAGCCGATACCCTTGATCCTGGCGAAGCCCCAGTTGGCGTAGACAGCCAGGAAGGTAGCAACCTGCATCAATAAAACAGGCACAGATTAGTCAGGTGCTGTGTTCCACGAACTTTCATTCAGCTCAGAGGCATTCCGGTACTTACAAGTTGAGCGAGCAGGAACGCGGTGACCAGGAGCAGACCAGGGCGCTCCACGAAGGACCAGCTACGGGAACGGGTGACGAAGATCAGAGCCTGGCTCACAATACTGACTTGGAGGTACAACGCAGACATCATCTCATGCTCACTGTCTCTGATTGACCTCACACCGAATTTGTCCTGCACAATAACATGGTATGGTGAGAACAAATCAAACTTGGAAAATACATACCGATCGAGGAGATCGATACAAAGGCTTTTAGGGACATTTTGAGAATTTACCGAGAAGAAGTCGGTCTTGTGCATAGCCCAGAAGAAAATGACAGTCATCAGAGCAAGGTAGCTTCCAAGCACGACACCGGTAGCAAAGATTTCCTTCAGCTTCCAGCTGTCGGGCAAGGGAGATGGCTTAACTCTGTCCTTGGAGATGGTCATGATAGTACCTGCGAAAACGAGAAGACAGTGAGAATTTGAGAAGTGATGCCTATACTATGATACTATTAGAAAAAAAAACAATAATATATACCGTCATTGAGAATGGCAATGATAAGGACCATGAAGGGAGAGAAATCGTATTGCCAGATCAAAGCAATGAGCATAAATCCAAGCTGTAAAACAAAATACACATTAGGTTGCAGCACGGCAAGTTTTCCATTTTAGTTGAAAAAAAATATGTCAGGTACTTACCACTATACGGATTGTGATGGAAACAGCATAAATCTGTAGATTGAAAAGATAAGCAGGGAAAAGAGTCAGAACATAAATCATGCATGCTACCAAAAAAAAAGGGAGAATAGATGCTTAGAAAAGAACTAACGGTGTAGTTCTTCATCCTCTGGAAGATGCATCTGCTGGTAAGGACAGCGCTGATAATGACACTAAGACCTGGCTCAGTAAGGACAATATCGGAAGCACTCCTTGCAGCATCAGTAGCATCTGCAACAGCAATACCGATGTCGGCCTTCTTAAGAGCGGGGGCATCGTTGACACCATCTCCAGTCATACCAACAATGTGTTTCTTCTCTTGTAGTCTCTTCACAATCTCATACTTGTGTTCTGTGTAACAAAAATACCATAAGCAAAAGATACTTTACATAGCGACTAGATAGTATTTATATGTATTTGACTCACCAGGGAAGACTCCGGCAAAACCATCAGCCTTCTCAATGAGTTCATCTACAGGAAGTGCTTCAAGTGTAGAATCCTTGTTTTGGCCGAGCAATGCTGAGGAAGGATACATGTTGGTACCCATGCCAAGCCTCCTTCCAGTCTCCTTACCAATAGCAAGCTGATCACCTGAAGTAAAAAAGATGTCCAAATTTAGCAATTGCGCAAATACTGGTGCAACAAGTTGTATGATCATTTGTTAGTAACAGGTTATGTACCAGTAATCATCTTGACATTAACACCAAGAACAAGAGCCTTGCGAATTGTCTCAGCACTGTCGTGCCTAGGTGGATCAAACAGAGGCAACAAACCAACGAATTGCCATGGTCCACCAGGGGACTCCTTACTTTTCTCAGGCACTTCCTGTGGTAAGGTCACATTTTGAATGAAAAAATGGCTCACCGATCGCCAAAACCGACATAACATGAAAAAGAACATCAGCCAAGATACCTGTCTGGCAACAGCAAGCGAACGAAGACCACGCTCGGCAAACTTCTCGATAATACCGTGCACCTTCCGCCTCAAATCCTCCTTGCAGTGGCACAGGTCAAGAATCTGTTTGGGTTTCATCACAGGAGCAATTAATTAGTCACGCTCAAAGAACAGTTTTTTTCCAATTTCAGAATAAGCAACATTATCACAAATTTCCTCACCTGCTCGGGAGCACCCTTGCTGACACGGTGCCAGTTGCCATCGCCATCAATGTATGTCAGAGCAGTCCTCTTATCAACAGGGTTGAAGGGCAAGAAGTGGACTTCCCTTATACCAGCCCTTGCCTCCTTGGGATCAGCAAGCATGCCAACCATGGCAGCATCGATGGCATCCTGGTTCTCAGTCCTTGAAGCCCTTGCAGCCAACAGCAACACATGGTCTTTGTCGACGCCTTTGCAAAACACCTCGACGAGGTTCTTGTCGACACTAAGCTTGTTCAGGGTGAGTGTGCCAGTCTTGTCACTGCAAAGCACATCCATACCAGCCATCTCCTCAATGGCAGTCATCCTCTTAGTGATGGCACCCTGCTGTGACAGCTTGTGCGAACCGATGGCCATGGTGACTGAAAGCACAGTAGGCATGGCAATTGGGATACCACCGATCAAGAGGACCAACAGGTTCTCAATTCCGCTGCGGTATTTGCGGTGCTGAATTGGGAACATGACGATGATCTCGACGATGATGCCGACCGCAATCGAGCAGATGCAGAAGTTACCAATTGCTGTCAGGACCTGTTGGAAGTGTCCGACCTGGTTGGTGCTGTCCACAAGATGAGCAGCCTTGCCGAAAAAGGTGTGCACTCCGGTGGCAATGACCACGGCCTCGATCTCGCCCTGCTTACAAGTGGACCCTGAGAAGACTTCGTCCCCAGGGCCCCTGGTAACCGGGAGGGATTCTCCGGTAAGCGCAGACTGGTCAACCTTGAGAGGATCACCCTCGAGGAGACGAGCATCGGCAGGGACGATATCACCAAGCTTGATGCTGATGATGTCACCAGGAACCAAGATTGCAGCCTCCTGCTCGCCCCATCGGCCATCTCTAAGAACCTAGAACAGGTAAACAGATCTGATGAGATGAAATGGATAGCAAATTTTTAAAAATAATTATCAGCTAATATAACCGTATTACAGTTTATTTTAAGTAGTCATTAGTACCTAACACATTTCAATTTGTTTGACTCGCCACAAGTTGGATGAATAAAACAATATTCAAATGGCAGCGATGTTTTGCAAGCAACTGCATGTTTTTCTTCTCTAATCTAACAGAATTAAAAACACTGGAAAAGGTGGAGGATGGCAACCCAAGTTGAAAATTCTGAGCTAGTTGAATGCCACGTGCAAGACAATAATGCATCCCCTCCAACTTAGACACCTTCCAGCCATGGATAAGACTAAACATACGTATGAATGGAACTGGAACTTGACTTCTCTGCAGAAAAACGTATGTCCTGTACCCAAATAAGCTGCAAATGCCAAGGTGCACCAAACTATCCCAATTCTTTATGCCAATTAAACAGCATCCAAAAGATGTGTACCTATCTTTTCCTCAATAATGGAATATATTCCCAATCATGACCCATCCAATGGACCATTCAGAACTTCGAGTTTTTGGACATGACATAAATGGAGCTTTTTTCAAGCTGAAAGCTAGTACAGAAAGATTCCTCCTTCAACTATATTGCAACTTGCCCATGAAAATATCATTGCTACCTTACTATGGAATAATTCATGTATTTTTCTCTTTATATTCTCTCAGGGCAGTTTTATTCCCGTTTAAAAAAGTTTCATTTCGTTAAGTATTATAGCTTGCTGTGCTCACCTTGGTTTTGGGAGCAAGGTTGGCCATGAGTGCAGCCGCGGCGTTGCCGGCATTGTTCTCCTCAATGAAGGAGATAGTGGAGTTGATAACCAGGAGCACGATGATACCGACGAAGTCCTCCCAATCCGGGGGCTTGCCACCACCGTTGGCAAGGGCAATGGCCATGATGGCAGCCATCTCCATGACCCATGACAGCGGGTTCCACATGAACCCAAGGAACTTGAGGAACTTGCTCTCCTGTGAAACACAAGACAACCAAAAAGCTTCAGCATCCCAGACAGCGCATATGTGGAGTTGTGGACTCAATCCAAAGGGAAAAAAACGTGTGCAGATTTGATCCGATCGTTACCTTCTTCTCCTCGAGCTTGTTGGGGCCAAAGATCTCGAGACGTTGCTGGCCCTCGCTGGAGCTCAGCCCCTCGCGGGTGCATTTCAGCTGTTCGAACACCTCCTCGATGGGGATGTTCTCCTGCAAACACAAACGCCGTTAGTGAGGTGAGATCAATTCTTTTTGCACGGTGTAAACACGTACTGTCAGTTAAAAGCAAGAACTGTGAAAGAACACTCCATAGAATGGAAGCATGTATCTCTGCGGGTCCACGGTGTCAGTGACTACCTGCTAAAGTTAGCGGTTGGAACATGACAAGGAAGAGCCCAAAGGACGGAGAGATGTACGGGGCCAATGATTGCCGACAGTACGGCCGTCCGATCTCGATCAGAGGCCGCTGGCGCAGGGCTCCCGTCCCCACTGCTGCTCCGCACTTTCCGTGGCCCCTACCCACGTGTGACCCAGCAAGCACGGGCCCGGGGATGCGTGCGGGCGCGTGTGAACCGGCCGAATTGGACGGACGGAACAAAAAGATGAGCGGAGGGCCACCGGTCATGCTCAGGTAGCCGTGTCCTATTATGGCTCTAGTGCAGTAGTGCTCCACTGGGTCAACACGGATTATTAAATTTAAATAATATAAAATAAGTAAGAGCTAACAGCTCAAGGAGCACGGATTTCCTATTTTCCTCCCTGACGCCTATGGTCGTTAGCGCCTAATCTCAGCAGCATGATTCCTGTCGATTTGCGTGCCCCGCGCAAGATGGCGAGTGACTTTTCGAGTTTTGACTCTACGTGCAATTTCGTACACTAATAATAACCAATATCATTATTTTGTTCAGTTACGAAACGAAAAGTTAATACCGGCCCGTACTACTAATTTATAAATCCAAAGGGGACTGGTAGCGGGACTGCAGAAATTCAGATATTTTAGGCTTCTATTCTAAGGGCATGTTTAGTTACCTATCAAAATGCCAAATTTTTCAAGATTCTCCGTCACATCGAATCTTTGGACGCATGCATGGAGTATTAAATATAAATAAAAAATAAAACTAATTACACAGTTTAGACGAAATCCACGAGACGAATCTTTTAAGCATAATTAGACTATGATTGAACACTAATTGTCAAATAACAACGAAAACGCTACAGTGTCCATTTTGCCAAATTTTTCGGATCTAAACTGTGCCTAAACAATTTCGAACCATCGAAGCATGGACAGATCGATGTCTATATATGGCGAAAAACTAGTAGATTTTCCTCCATGATGATCAAATCCGGGAACGTATTAAATACGGCAGATCAAAACAGCAATAAGTGAGCGAGCGATTTCAGAGGTGAGTAAGAGATAGGAGGCGTGGGCGGCGGGGCGGCCTACAAAGCTGTAAGCATTCAATCAAACAGCTCACATGAGCAAGACACGGGAGGAACATGACCACCGCCAGGTGGCCGGCCCCTCCCCTTGGCTGAAAAGCCGGTTGAGAGACAGATTGAGCGCGTAAAAGGCAGCTTCGTTCCAAGCCCATCGTCCATGCGGCGGAGACGGAGAGGATGGAAACAAACTAGTAATAAAGGCACAAAATCTTTTCGCAGGAACAGGAACCGGATTCCCTTCGGGTTTTGTTTCCTTTTGCAGGAAACATGTTTCCTTTTCGCAAGAAACAAACTCCTGCTCCTGCGTGTGAATGAAATCGGTAAACATGTTTCAGAGTTCAGACTCTGGCATCTTTTGCTCGTTTTTTTTTTTACCTCCAGGATCAGCAGCGTTGCGAGGACGCAACGGGAAGTCAAAAGGCAAGCGAAACTGGCCGCCGTTACATGGATCATCCTCACCTCTAGCAGAGCCAGCGCGTACGAGCGTACTACTTACTACTAGAAATATTGCAGCCTGAACTGATCGGAGGCACAAGCAACAAAGGATCGGAGGCGGACAGCAAGCAGTAATTCCTCACCAGATCGACGGCTTCATTCTTGATCTCCTCGAGCCCACCCATGGCGGACGACGGCTGGCGTTGCTAGAGGCGAAGCCCGACGGCAGACACGGGCATATGCCGCCCGGACGCCGCGCCTCCTCGCTTCTCTTCTCGTGCGAGAAAGGGCGAGTGGAGAGTGGTGGTGGCCGTCGAGTGGAACGGGAGGAGATGGGGCGGACCTATATAGCCCCGCGCCGCTTTATACGCGCAGGCCGCAGGCCAGGCCACCACTATCCCTAGCAGCCCTCCTACCACCACCCCAGGGGGGCCCGCGCTCGCGGTCTCTGTTCGCGTGCCCCGTCGAGTTAGGCCGCCCCCGCGCATCGCACCTGGCCCGTTGGCACCCGGTGAGATCTGGCCTGCGCGGCACCGGCACCGGGCGTGGTGGCCCCGCGCGTCAGCCGCGTGCGGGTCGGGCGGTCGCGGGTGGACGTGGAGATATGCCAACGGCTTCGGCATTCGGCTCGGGGGTTTGACCCCAACCCGCGGCGGGTGGGGTGCGGGCGTGGGCGTGGCGGCGGGGAAGGGGAAGCCCCGGGGAACGGAACCGTCACGGGATAACGGGGCGGACGGCGCAGGCCGCTTCGGGCTGGGGTCTCGGCGAGTTTAGGAGCCCCGGTAGCGGTAGCCGTGCGTGGGAGTGGGGAGTGGGACGGAACGGACGGACGCGGAGATTCCTTCGCGGAGCCCGCCGCCGGCCCGCCGGTCGCCTCCGTCCGTGACGGGTGTGGATAACGATCGTACGGCGCGGGGGCCGATCCGTGCGCCCGACTCCCGAGGCCGCCGAACCCAACGAAACGGGCAGGGGCAGCATATCTGTTATCTGTAGCACAAGCACTAAAGCTGTCAGGCAGGCAGTTGGCCGTTGCCGAGGCTGGATCGGGGCAGGCGCTGGAGGGGAGCAACAAGGCAGGGCCGGCTGAAAGAGGCACACAGCGCCTCGTGCTCTGTCCGATGAGGATGCGAGTTGTCAGCGCAAACAGACATGTGCAGCTGTTGAGTGAGAACCGGCAACAAGGCCTAATCTTAGTGCAGTTCCGAAAGTTTCTTGGGTCCGATAGCGCGCATGATGGAGGATGCAGTTCATCGTTCTCATCTCAATCTCATGGTCGTGGATGGGTTAAAGAAACGCACATGGAGCCATGGAGATGAGATGACGCCCAGTTGACAAGCGCCACAGCGGCATGTTCCAATGAGCATCGGCGGCCAGCTTGTTGTGGCTGAGGACGAATTAACAAACGATTCCAGGCTCCAAAAGAAAATGCGCGCCATTCCTACTCTACAAACCTGTGATTCTTTCTCTCTTTTTTTCGTTTCTTTTTTTAGAAGATGCCACTTGAATTATTTCTCTCTGCGGACAGCACAATCATGCAGGATAGGAGAGGGAGACCGGGAGAGGAATGGAGCAGGACCGGAAACAGGTCGGCGACGGCAACTTGGGATCTGAAAACGCGCCCGCTTCCGCTTGCATGCATGCATGTGTCCCCGGCTCCCGTGAATATACTAATCCGGTAATCCCAAACCGGTCGCTTCCATGTTGCTGCAGACTGCAGTGCAGGGGCTGCTTAGGCCAGTCTCGATGGGAGGTCATGGGAGTGTCATGCACATTAATTATGGTGACACATCAGCACCAGAGCAATTTTTGCATGAAACGAGGAGGAGAGAGAACAAGTTCGTTTCATGGCCACGACACTCGCGAGCTCGGTTTCCAACCACTCGGTAATCGCACGACACCCGCACTGAGGGGGGGAAGAGTTTCATCACCGATCCGTGCTCCACAGCGTGAAGATGCGATCCTTCCCGATTCCCCCCATGCTGCTGATTCCTCTCGCCTCCCAGACGATTTCTTCTTCCTCCTTCCTGCTGGCGCCAATCTCCTTCCCGCGCGCCTTGTTCTCCTTCCCCATCCATACCGGGTTGCTAGATCCAGCGCCATGGATCCTAGTCGTAGCTCGGGCGAAGGAGGCGAGGAGGAAAGAAAGGCGGAGGCAGCCGTCTTGGAATGAAGACGGCGTTCTCTCCTACGCCGCCGGCTTCTCCGGCTTCTTCATTTTCTCCTCCGCCGCCGCCTACTTTCCCCTCTGCGCCGCCGGCCCCTCCATCTTCTTCCCCTACGCCGGCCCCTCCATCTTCTTCCCCTGCGCCAGCCCCTGCTGCGTCGTCTTCATCCCCACCGCAAGGAGTAGGAGTGCCGCCGAGGCCAACGCAAGGAGTAGCATTGGGTGCCATGCCCCCAAATTTTCCATATGAACAAGGAAACCAGCAAGCCCCAAATCTATGGTATGTGTTGATTTTGATGCCTGTAATTAGTTGATTTTGATGCCTAGAAGTAGTTGATTTTGACTGCATGCATTGGCAATGGGAAAGATGCCCAAATGCATGGAAGGGTCAGTTCACTCGGGGTGATCAGAAAGTGCCGACGTTGATTCTTGAAGCTGTGGCATCACATGATCTTTGGATTTGGCATGCGTTCTTTGGAGTAGCGGGTTCTAACAATGATATTAATGTTTTGAATCAGTCTACTGTATTTATCAATGAGCTAAAAGGACAAGCTCCTAGAGTTTAGTACATGGTAAATGGGAATCAACACAACATTGGGTATTTTCTTGCTGATGGAATATATCCTGAATGGGCAGTCTTTGTTAAGTCAATACGACTCCCTATCACTGAGAAGGAGAAAAAGTATGCAGAAGAACAAGAAGGGGCAAGAAAGGATATCGAGAGAGCCTTTGGTGTATTGCAGCGTCGATTTTGCATCTTAAAACGACCAGCTCGTCTATATGACCGTGCTGTACTCTGTGATGTCGTGCTAGCTTGCATCATACTTCACAATATGATAGTTGAAGATGAGAAGGAACCAGACATTATTGAAGAAAATCTAGATCTAAATGTGCCTCCTAGTTCATCAACCGTTCAAGAACCGGAATTCTCTCCGGATCAGGATGTTCCGTTAGAGAGAGCTTTAGAAAAAGATACTACTATTCGAGATCGATCAGCTCATCGCCGACTTAAGGATGATTTGGTAGAACATATTTGGAATAAGTTTGTTGGTCGTGCACATACTTCTGGTACTTTGTGACTATCTTTTGCATTATTGGTTATCTATTGTAGTTAGTTATCTAACCTTAAGAATTTAACTGCACTTCATTTGTATTTTATATGTGATATTTGTGATCTGATCTTGCACTACTGAATTCTTCTGAGAGCTCATGCTGAACTGTTTTTTTTTGTTTCTGCAGGATGAAATCAAGGCTGAAGGCTGACGGCTATCTGATCCTGCACTACTGAAGGCTATCTGATCCTGCAGTACCCAAGGTTGTCTGTGTTGTGAGAAGAACCAGTGAGAGATCGTTTGCAAGGCTGAAGGATATCTAATTTTTTTCTATCTATCTAAGTTTATTACTATCTTTAGTTCTAGTGCATGCTTGAAGGCTATCTGAATTTTGTTTCTATCTTAGTTTACTATCTTTAGTTCCAGTGCATGCCGAACTGCTTTATGCGAATGCTGAAGTCTTGCTACTCGTCGTATGTTATCTATGACTATCTTCAGCATATCTATGGTTTAATAGGATATATGATCATTTTGATATCAGCCGATTTATTTGATTTGGTCACTTGGTATCGAGTTCAGAGTAGCTGATGGTTGTGTGCACATGATGCTTGTCATTCTATTAACAAAATGCTTGTTCAGAGTACCTGGGGTGCAGTTATCTCTCTTGTCGAACTGATGGTTGGTCACCTGGTGCTTGTATGTGCATCCGATTGAATCTATGTCTTTTTTGTTCACCGTCTCAGTGATGGTTGGTGCTGCCGGCCTGAATGTTTGTTGCTATTTAACTGATGGTGGTTGCCGAGTAGAAATGGCTACACGATTATAGAGTGCATATGATCCCAACAAACTGCAGTAATTAAATGCTTATCTTAGCCTTGGAAACATCAAAGTGAAACGCTGCATTGTTGGGGTTGTTTCATGGATGGTTTCATTTGAGTCTTGATGACGTTTTAATTTTGGAACTGTGCAATGATACTGGCCATTGAGACTGGCCTTATTGCGTACTACTACACGCTGTGCAAAAACGGAGCTGTTGGCCGTCCTGTATGGCACCTGCAACTGCTGCATGAATTCCACCACCTACTCCCCATCCCAGTGGATGCATGGCGGGCAGGCGTTGGGAGCATACGCATGTCACGGTGTCGTTTCGCTTGGGTTTCACTGCCGGCGCGTCCTCGGCAGATGGGCCAAGATGGGAGAATATCGCGTGCCAGCCACCGTTGCCGTACCACCACCCCCCAAGGCCACAAAGGCGTTCAGTTTGGAGCCTTTCTTTTCTTGCTCGGTTCAACGGGAAACAAATGCTCCGGATACGGTACGCCCGCGCGGCCGGTGTGTGTCCTCGTTCAGATTTCGGTTTGACCAGGCAAGGCTGGGCCCTCTCACTGCGTAGCAACGAACCAAAACTCCTCGTGGAGCTCGAAATGGCAACGGATAAACCGCCCGCCGCCCGTTTGGAAGATGAGACGGATCCATTGGTCTCTTCGCTCTCGAGGCCTGCCTGGCACAGACTACAGCAGGGCGGCGCGTTCCTCCCGTTGGCCGTACGGCTACAAAAGACTGAAAGAGCAGTTGCAGTTGCACGGCGATTCATGATGCATGATGAGGGGGAATTCGACTTGGCGAGATGCATGATGCATGATGACTTCAAAGGTCACGCCTGCTGACGTGGCCGCCTGGCCCAGCCCTGCCGGTCGCAGCTGGCTTGGTCAGCGGGCGGGGCGGAGCCCCACGAGGGCACGAGGTGCTGAAAGCGCCCAACAATAATGCTGACGCCTGACAGCAGGCGCAAGTCCTCCCGCTGCTCCCGATTGTCCTCGGCAATTCACATCAGCGCTGCTACGCAGTAGCGAGTTATTATTGGACCATTATGACGCATAATGGAAAAGTATTTCGTTTCACACTCACACCTAGGCCAGGAGACCATTCCGCAGTTATGCTCCATGGTGATTTGTTTAGTACTACAACT